TCAGTCCTAAGACTGGTTGGACACGTACCTCCACTCTTTCCTATCCTGAGCTAAACTTCGCATTTCCCTAAAACTAGAACAGCCCACATCCTTAACTATTTGTGAACAGTAATCTAATCTAGGTCTACCTCTACCCCTCCTAACTCCTGTTTCTGCCTCTAATATACCTCTGACTAGACCTTTATGCCTAAGAAGGTGTCCTACCAACCTATCTCGTCTATTTCTTATTGACTTCCATAGAGTCCTCTGTTCTCCTATTATTTCTAATACATCTTCATTTCTAACGTTTTCTACCCACGACATCCTCATCATTCGCCTGTCACACCACATTTCGAACGCTTCTAACCTTTTCTTTTCCGCGGCACCCACCGTCCATGTTTCGCACCCGTACAGCGGCGCACTCCAACAATTCACCTTTAACAACCTTTTCCGAATTTCTAAATTAATCATTCACGAGCATAAAAGTGACTTCTTCTATTGAAGGCGAGTCGACCCTGTGTTATCCTCTGCTTTATATCCGCACTACTCCTTCTGTCCTGACTTATAAGACTTCATAGATACCTAAAATCGGCCACTTAACGTCTCCTACCGTTAAAAATAGTTTTGATAACTACTAGAGTTATTTAGAAGGTGTTGTCAACCCTTTTTTAATCATTAAAGATACGGTGGGTTTTAAATAAGAGATTCAACCCTAGAAGCAGCAGTCTGCCGTGGTCTAGGACTGGTCTAATATTAAAAATAATTTCTGTCAATGTCGTAAACTTTGTTGAACGCCTAAAACTTTTTAAAAACAGTTTCTCAATCGTTGGATTTAACTCGTATTTGTAGAATGTTTCGTCTTAAGTATAATTGGAGTCCAAATTATAATTACATATGTATTTCACTACATATTTTTTATTGAAACGTACCTATATGTACCTAAGTTATCACTTTTTAACATTTATTTCAAAATAATGTCCGAGAAGGAATCGTTAAATAAAACAATAAGTTGATTCCAATTTGGAAACAAACTAACAACTAAATTAAATTATAATTCAATGTAGTGGATAGCAATAAAATTATTTTTTCTGGCTAACAATAGAACATACTTCTAAGACTTATCAAATTACACTATTCTCAAGAAATCGCTGCCATATCAGTACCTAATCATCAAATGAATACTATTATAACATTTCAGCTAATGATATGATAAATAAAGGGTTTAAATTTTCCATTGCCAATTTATGACATCAGTTACGTGGATTTTCTAACGTCTAAAAGGCCCAATAGAATAAACCTGGTCGTAAATAAATATCGTTCTCTCAGAAATTTTATAGATATTGTATGGGGCTATTAAAATTTTGGGTTTTCCCCACCATTTGATGACAGGTATACTTCGTTAAGTTTCTGTAGCGATGTGACCTTCAGTTTGACAGGCGTAAAGTAGAAAAGACCAGCACTAGGCCAGAAAAGGAAGGAGACAACTCTCGGTCAAATTCTTAACCGGTGAGGAGCGTATAATCCGTACAGTACTGCACAGAAAAATTGACCATTTTATCCACTATAATTGCTTTGCTCGAATGTGCTGTTATTGGTACCAATTACCACTGAAAATATCAACGAGATGTTTATTTATATTCGAAGACATATTAAAGGCTTCAACGCTTGTTTTCGACTCGCACTACTATTCATGATTGAACAAAACTTTTGACAGGTACTGTATGAAAAAGTATATTTAACGAACAAGAGTCGAGAGTATAATGAGCTTTTTTCTCCCTATCTACGATTCTTCCAGCACGGATCCAAGACATTGGAAGGGGCACATAGCTACAGAATGTAAATGAAGTATAATAACATATACTCTTTGACTGTAATAAGTGTAAATACTTCGCTACTGAAGTATAGGGAACATTGACGTTATGACTATACATATTCTATTATAGGAGCAGCTTTCAAACCTGTTAAACTTTCAGGAGAGTCCATTTGTCTTTGATAAAGTTTGCATCATTGACGTTGCACGGCACGTACCCTTATTGGTTAGAACGTTAAAAAAAACTATTCGTTGACTGGTTAATTGTATTACTGCGACGTGTTCATTACATCAGTTTGAAGATAACAAGAGCGGATGGCAAATCGATAGCACATAAAGCCTTTGAACATGACNTTTTCATTAATTTGTTATAGGAAATAATAAAAGGTCTAGCGGCAATCGGGCACAATTACACACTGAACCCTGCCACAGGTTTCTCAGCTTTAACAGCAATTTCAGTTGATGACAATGGCGTTGTAACAGGAGGAACCGATCCAAGGCGGTCTGGAACTATAGCCTATGTATCGGCTAAAGGGTCCTAGTACTTACAATTAAATAAACTTCTGTGAATATAATTTAACGAATAGCTTTTAATTTCGAATGTGATCAGTATTCTTACAGTAATTATTATGTACTATGAACAAAGACAAATAAAAATGAAACCTACAAGACTCCCTTTCTTGTTTCTCTTCTTTACAGAAACGAAAACGGTCTTCCTTTTTTGGGCCAAAGGAAATTCGTTTTGTTTCACCCATAGCGTGCTATTTTTGAAAGGTAAACTTAAATGTTAGATCACAATAAAGCTTTCAAACAATCGATGGTACTTTTAGTATGCGGTGTACTATAAAGTACTATCATAGATTTATATATGTGTTTTGCCGCGATGGATCCACTTTATATGCAATCTACCGTCATTGAATTCCGTTTATATTTAAAATCTATCGTCATGAATCCACTTTATATGCAGTCCACCGTCATGGATCCGCTTGATTTGTGCGGTCTATCGTGATCGATCCGCTTTAAATGTGATTTACCGTGATGGATTTGCTTGATATGCGATCTACAGTCATAACTTCGGTTTATATTCGAAGTCTATCGTCATGGATCCACTTTATATGGGATTCACCGTCATAGGTTCGCTTGATGTGCTATCTACAGTCACGGATCCGCTTGATATGTGCGGTCTATCGTGATGGATAACTTTATATGCGGTCTACCGTCATGAATTCAGTTGACATTCGAAGTCTATCGTCATGGATCCACTTTATGTGCGGTCCACCCTTATGGATCCGCTCTATATATGCGGTCTATCGTGATCGGTCAGCTTTATATGTGATTTACCGTCATGGATTTGCTTGATATGCGATCTACCATCATGAATTCAGTTGATATTCGCGGTCTATCGTGATGGATACGCTTTATATGTGGTCTACAGACATGAATTCAGTTGACATTCGAAGTCTATCGTCATGGATCCACTTTATGTGCGGTCCACCCTCATGGATCCGCTCTATATGTGCGGTCTATCGTGATCGATCAGCTTTATATGTGATTTACCGTCATTGATTTCCTTGATATGCGATCTATCGTCATGAATTCAGTTGACATTCGAAGTCTATCGTCATGGATCCACTTTATGTGTGGTCTACAGTCATGGATCCGCTTGATATGTGTGATCTACCGTAATCGATACGCTTTATATGTGATTTACCGTCATGGATTCGCTTGATATGCGGTCTACAGTAATAAATTCGGTTGATATTCGCGATCTATCCTAATGGATAAGCTTTATATGCAGTCTACCTTCATTAAATCAGTTGACATTCGAAGTCTATCGTCATGGATCCACTTTATGTGCGGTCCACCCTTATGGATCCGCTCTATATATGCGGTCTATCGTGATCGATCAGCTTTATATGTGATTTACCGTCATGGATTTGCTTGATATGCGATCTACCGTCATGAATTCAGTTTATATGCGGTCTACAGTTATGAATTCAGTTGATATTCGAAGTCTATCGTCATGGATCCACTTTATGTACGGCCCACCCACATGGATCCGCTCTATATATGCGGTCTATCGTGATCGGTCAGCTTTATATGTGATTTACCGTCATGGATTTGCTTGATATGCGATCTACCATCATGAATTCAGTTGATATTCGCGGTCTATCGTGATGGATACGCTTTATATGTGGTCTACAGACATGAATTCAGTTGACATTCGAAGTCTATCGTCATGGATCCACTTTATGTGCGGTCCACCCTCATGGATCCGCTCTATATGTGCGGTCTATCGTGATCGATCAGCTTTATATGTGATTTACCGTCATGGATTTCCTTGATATGCGATCTATCGTCATGAATTCAGTTAACATTCGAAGTCTATTGTCATGGATCCACTTTAAGTGTGGTCTACAGTCATGGATCCGCTTGATATGTGCGATCTACCGTAATCGATACGCTTTATATGTGATTTACCGTCATGGATTCGCTTGATATGCGGTCTACAGTAATAAATTCGGTTGATATTCGCGATCTATCCTAATGGATAAGCTTTATGCAGTCTACCTTCATTAAATCAGTTGACATTCAAAGTCTATCGTCATGGATCCACTTTATATGCGGTCCGCCTTCATGGATCGGCTTAGTATGTGCGGTCTATCGTGATGGATCAGCTTTATATGTGATTTATCATCTCTATCAGTTTACCGTCATAAATTTATATATGATCCACAGTCATACATTCGCTTCATATGCGGTCTACTGTCGTGGATCCTCTTGATATGCGGTCTACCGTCATGGATCCGTATGATATACGCTCTACTACGTTTGTCTTGTTTTACAATCTTTTTATTAAAAGGAAGTAGATGGAACAGTCTAAAAAATTACATAAGTATGACTCGGATGAGCCAAGAGGAGGGTGCACATGCACCTGAGAGAAGTATCAAAGTACAAAAAAGTAAGCCATACACTAAGGAATGCTTTTGTGGCATTCATTGTTTATTTCAGATCATATATTTACGTTAATAACAAATTTTTTTTTAAATGTCACGTAGAATTATTGTAGGTACTAAGCATAAAAATGTGTCAAAAATTATGATTAACAATTAACAATAATTGCTTTGTACACCAGTAAATATTGTTATTAAATAATAAATCGATGCAGAAAAATAAAACAAATTTAGTATTTGGTATTTTCTTTAGAACACACATTATTGCAAAAATAATGGACAGATTACAATTTCCTCACTTCACATGTGTTATGTTTTATTTTAATTTTATGTAGGGCATTATTATTTATTCTTTGTATTTATTTTTTTATTATTATTATCGACGCTATTTCACGTTAGGTATAGACTATAGAGTAAAAAGTCCGGTAATTTACTGAAGTCCAGACGTCTTCAGATTGGTCCAGACCGATAAAGGTCCCACTCACTTGTTGCTTGTGAACCAAACACTAAGCCCCTTCTCCGCACCCCGCATGATTTATGTATCCTAATCGAATATCCGGATCGATCCTCTTTAAAATTTCTTTAAGAAGAAAGAACCAAAAAGAACTCAGTGTGCTAGATTGCCACCACCGAATGCAGTGGTAGAATCTAAACGTGAACAGGTTGGTGGTTTGTTTTCTATATTTGCTGTGACCATTTATTATGTCAACAACTAAAGGTAAGTTTTTTTTAATCGCATGCTGAATACGACTCTTTCTATAATATAAGCATGTATGTGTATAATTATTTTGTTTTTCAATAATACCTAATTAAAGAAAAATTGGGGTAGGTCTGTCCTAATATGGTAGGTACTTCACTTCAGTAACAAATTATGTACATGTTAACGAAATTATAAAATAAAATTATACATTGGCGCGTATGTAGGTAGGTGTAAAACGTATAAAAATGCTTCTATTTGGAATATATTTGAATGTATTGCAAAAAGAGGTTTTATTAGGTCATTAAAAGTGAGGCGCTCGGTCAAATCATTGCCATTTTTAGTTTTTCAGTAGTATGAAGTTAAAAATTATGACATACTAAATTAAAATTTGTTCAAATTTCGGAAAAACTGAGCGGTCAGTTCGAGACATCATATTTTTTAGTTAGTTTTTACCTTATTACGTTGGCTACTTACAATTAGCTTTTTGGAATGCAGAAGAAAAGCCCCCTAGAAATGAGCCTGGAAAATTCGTCTCGAAAAAAAGGCTCCAGGAAAAAATGCTCCATCAGAAACAAATCCTGGAAAATTATTTCAGGAAAGAATAAATCAAGTCAATAATCCTACAAACTTTTCAGATCTAACCATTAAAACTCATCACCACATAGATGTATTTTCTATCTTATTGATACCATTATTCATATTTGTCACGCAAACACAAATTATCGTTCTTTTAATTAAGTCTTCATAATGTGCTAAATGTACGTTTGTTTCAAGAAGATTACAACAGGAAATTGGGTAATATTTCTTTATCCTTTTTATCGTTTCGAACCAATAACGCCTTGGCTAAAATAAAGTTACTAAAAGAGAAAACAAATCGACTACATACAAACATAATTTTGGTACCTACATGCAACTAATCTTTTAATTAATTTAAGTAATGTTAACTCTAAATTTAAAAATTTGGTATGAAGTTATAAGGTTTCGTTTAAAATAATTTTTCTGAGATTTGCTATCGAGTGGTTTTTTTTGGCTGGATTTTTTTCTGTAAACCTTTTTGAACACTCGGTACAATTAACCAAAATACATTATTTATTACCGAATTTTTCTTACATGGAAAGAGTAGTAGAAAATTCAATAATAGGTTTTATCAAATATTATTATGATTAAAAAAAAAAACACCCTATTCGTTACCAAATTTTATATCTTAAAAGGGTGAAGTAATAAAGTATGCATAATATTTGTTTGAATCAAGATTAAGGATTGATGAAGTATAGTGCGTGTCTTGGGGATGAAATATTAATATGAAGTTGATTCTTATTGATATATATATGATATTGGAATATTCATCAGTAATTTCATTCATAACGATATGATGTGTGAAATACGATATGTACCGCCTAAAGCCTTTGTATAGGATATATCCTAACGGATAATTAAATTATTTTTTTTGTATACCACCTGTATGCGAGATTGCAACCCTTGGGTACAACAGATGGACTGTTAGGGTGAATTAATACCTACTTCGGAAATACCCAAGCGCGAAGCATATTCTATAAAACTGTTTATTGTCAGTAATCAAACAAGAAATCATAAAATTCTTCGAAGGGATTTTGACGAGATAAACAACTCGGAAACTACCCTAATAAAGCAATAAAACACAAAGGTCTACTAAAGTGCCGTTAGGTACCACGCGAATTTGAGTTATTTTTTCAGGTAAAGGAATTTGGTCTATAATTTTTAGATACAGAGTGATTTTTATTTTTGGCATTATTTTAAGAGAAATATAAATTATAAATTCGAAAGAAACTATTTTATGGGGTCCCTCTATTAAAGACGAAGGAGAAAATTGGCACAAGATAACTGAAATATTAAATCTCAAGAGACTACTAAATTAGGTGAATTTTTTGTTATGAACTGTATAAGAAACCCCTGTTAAATATAGAAATTTTTTCGAGAATACGTATTAACCAATAAAACTAATTAAAAAAATTATTTGCACTAATTATCTAGCCACAAGGAAT